AGTTGCTGGGATGACAATAGCTTTGTCATAGTACTTAGCAAACGTGCTTTCTGTGCTCCAGCCTGCTGTTTTTAGTATGTCATTTATAGTAACATCAGCCCTTTTTGCCGCAGACACTACAGCTGATCTGGTACTGTGTGGTTTGAATACTGACACGTCAATGCCAGAGTTTGACAATACTTGTTTAATCCATTTGCTTATTGTTTCCTTGGTAACCTTTTTATGAGGTTTAGAATGAGAAATAAACAATTGACTTTCCTCTCCTCTGAGAGGCCTTGTTCGGCGTAAGTACTCTTCCAGAGTCTTAACTACACATAGACTTGTATCAGTCAATAAGGCTTCAGAATAACCTTAACATTGGGCAGACCTGGACGGCTCTGCTTAAGTATAGCAAAAAAGAAGGTATAAACCGAATCAGTTACTGTCATATTCTTAATATCCATCAAATGAAAAGTTTGGCATCTTTGTGCCGAGACCAAAGCAATTAGAGTAACTAACTTAAATGTCACTTCTTTTAAAGTCAACCCCTGTAGTGGGTAAAGACTCTTTAAATATCTTAGGACGATACTTACATCCCAAACCTCTGTATATTGTGTTTGGGGCGGTCTTAACCGAAATACACCTCTAAGAAATCTGCAAATTAAAGGGTGATTACCAACAGTAGTGGAATTATTAGTCACTACCGTAGCTGAGAGTGCAGACCGAGCGGTATTAAGTGCACTATAGCCAAGGCCAGAATGGTATAATTCTGCCAAAAAGTCCAAAACTGTGTTCACAGGGGGACATATTGGATCAACCTGTCCTTGACGACAGAAGCGAAGCCATCTTTCGAGGTAGCCAGAGTACTGTTTTCGGGTTCCCTCTCGCCATGAGGCCATGAGGATTTCGGTTGCTTGTTGAGAAACATTTTGCATTTGGAAGGATTTCCTGATAAGTGGCAGGCAACCAGCCGAAGCTTGTTCCGTAGAGGATGAAGTTGATCGCTGCTTGGTAGGGTCATCATATCCCTTTGTCTTGGCAGCAGTACTGGCTTGTCTACTAACATCGCCATGAGCTTGGGAAACCACGATTGGGTTGTCCAGAAAATCAGCACCCCTTCTGCCTCTTCTTGATCTACCTTCTGAAGGGAGGAAACGCATAGAAAAAATAAGGTTTCCATGACACTGAAAAGGCGTCTACAAAGAGAGCGCCCGGATCTGGCCTCCATGAAACATAAGGCAAGATTTGTTTATTTAGTCGGGATGCAAATAAATCAATTGCTATATCGCCCCAAAGGGATTGAATGCGATTGAAAATCTTGGGTTTAAGCATCCATTCAGTCCTATCATTAAATAATCTGGACTGCTTATCCGCAGCAACGTTCTGCGATCCTGGGAGATAAGAAGCAGATACCCATATATTCTGATCTATACACCAAAACCAAAGTTTTTGTGCGAGTTCATTACATGGCTTAGATTTTATACCACCCATAGAATTTACATAAGCAACTGCAGTGGTATTATCCATCTGGATACGCACATGGACATTCCTTGACGAGGAACAAAAGGAACATAAAGCCAAGTATGCTGCTAGCACTTCAAGATAATTGATATGCTGAGTAGCCTCAGTGGCTGTCCATTTGCCTCCTGCATGGAGTGATTTATGGACCGCACCCCAACCAAGTTTGGATGCATCTGACTGAATAACCAAGTCTGGCTCTCCATGAGAAATTTGTTTGACACTGCCCCCTATATTAGTAAGCCACCAGTTTAACTCTTCTTTGGATTTCTCAGACAACCGCATGAGCGCAGAGAAATCACCTTTGCTGTTTTGCAAAGCTTTTATTTTGTCTGTTTCAATGCTCCTATAGAACAATTGTCCGTATTCAACCCCTGAAAAGCAGGCAACTAGGACGCCAATAGTGGACGCAACATCCTGAATGGTAATCAGGTTTTTGCTTAACACAGATGTAATTTGGTTACAGACCTTTTCAACTTTGCCAATTGTTGGTTGAATAGTCATACTATTTGAATTCAGAATAAATCCCAAGAATGTTAATTGTTGCGTTGGTTCGAATACGGATTTGTCGGGGTGGACTCGGAACCCCAGATTGGTGAACAATGAGGCTGAATGCCGAACATTTTCGGTACATTCTTCTTTTGTGTCTCCCTGTAAGTAGGAGTCATCAATATAACCAACTGATAAAAAGCCCTTCTTTCTTAGGGTTGAATAAACTGGCTTCAGCAGTTTTGTAAAAATTCTTGGGGCTGACGCTAGGCCATTTGGCAAACAAGTAAATTGATACAATTTATTTCGCCATGAAAACTTTAAGAATTGTTGGTGCTCTTGGGCAATTGGCACCGAATAATAGGCATCTCTTAAGTCAATAGAGGCCATGTAGCAGTCGCGTTTCATTAGTCGCACTGCAGAGACTAGTGTATCCATCTTGAAATGATGATAAGCAACTGATTTGTTAAACTGTTTCAAGTTCAAAATCATTCTATAAGTGCCGTCTTTTTTAAGTCTGGGGAAAATTGTGGAGACAAACTGTCCCTTTTCATGGAAGGAATGTTTTATAACACCCTTTTTAATGAGCTTGTCTATTTCCAAATCAAGACTTATTTTCTCCGTCTCATGAAAATTAATTTCTGTTGGCGGCCATATTTGAAAAGGGCGGCACCCTTCCTCGAATTTAATATGGCAATTTTGAACCGTATCAAGAACTTGCTTATCTGAGGTAATATTCCTCCAAGACGAAATAAAGTCCTTTAAACGACCTGCTATATTGGCTTCTATTTGGCATTGATTTGAAGTTTGTCTTACCTCCTGTTTTACTTGTTCTTGTTCGACTGCTTGCCGCTGTGCCAAGATTGGCGGCTGTTGTACGGGCGGGAGTACAAAAAAACCCTGCCTGCAGCGCCTCTTGCGCCCCGGTACTGGTGGCCACCTCTGTCATATGACCTGTGCCCCGTCCGACCTCTCGCACGTCCCCCACGGGAACTGATTGCCAATTTTAAGCCAACCTTATTCACTTCTGACATATCTTTGACTTGTTTGGGTAGGTCATCCCCAAAAAGTTGTTCAGTGAACTGAACAGTAGTATCACAAAGATGTTTAAAATTCGGATTAATATCTTGCTTGATAAATTCCCTGCGTCGCATATTCAACTGATAATTGGCATTAGCCATTAGTGCGATCGCATCTGTTGCATTACGCAGCAGTGGTTTTATGTCAAGTTTATCAAGCTCCTTCTTTTTGGATGCTTGAAGCAGTTGTTCCGAAAGCTGAAGCACAGGTACAACTGACTTAATGACGGATGTCTGAATTTTTTGAAATTTGACATCCTGGGAGCGGGTACTGCTCGACATATTGTCCCAAATGAGTTTGTTCACTTTTGTTGGGATCACCTTTTCACAGTTCTTTGGTCTGTTATAGGTTTTATACATGTCTTTTACTTTGTCGTCGGACAATTTGTCCCGCATTATAGAGTTTGCAATTGATGCCAACTGGGCATGTACTGCATCAGAAGTTTGTTCATGTATCTGAAAATCTTGTACAATATTTGCAAGTAACTCGTTTTGTTCAGAATTATTTTCTGGTGTTGCAGCAGTTGTGCTGGCGGTATCAGGGTTTGTTTCCTCAAGTAGTCTTGCAACGCTAGACTCATGGTCATAGTGGCTAGTATTTCCACCATCCATTTTTCGCCGTTTCGGCGACACTACTTTGTGAGCAGATTCGCTCTCAGCCTCGTCATTAGACTGTGGCTGCACGGCCATGAACATTTGGGTAAATTCTTGGAATTGTTTAGTGAAGCTTGTCTGCATTGATTCCATTGCACCTTTCATCATTTGGCCTAAAGCCATTATGTCTGGGGAACATTTTTGTACAGTTTCGGAATTATCCAACTGCGACTCGTTCGTGTTCTCCTCATAGCTTCGTTTTTTATTCTGAGGAAACTTCCCTCTTTCACTAACAGTATTACCTGTTTTTGTGCGCCATTCCTGGCCACCACCAGGCTGCGCGGGTGGAAACCCAGAGAGCCCGTCAAGAGACCCTGAGCCCCGAGGACTATTCAACTTACAGGATGGTGAGAGGAGAGCAAACAGATCTTCATCCTCCGGGCTCAGGGTCAACTCGCCGTGCTCAGTCGGTTGTCCAGCCATGCTGTGCGTAAAATATAGAAAACTATTCGCCACGGACAATAAGTCACGTCTGAACGTCGCGAGGTTCAGCAGCACAATGAACACGCTTGGTCACGCCGCGCTATCTCACGTGGTCTCGAGGTGAATATCGAGAACGAGGTAGAATTGTCATTGCAGCTGGTCCACTATCTCTAAGAGCAAATATCCATACAAATTAGAATTCGCCAGATGTAAGAATACGTTTTTGACTACCATGACATATTTATTGATAAAAAAATGATGAGGAGTTGATTACACATTAAAATCATCCGGTACGATTTTAACTTATATGATGGTATAAGATTCTGATAAGAATCTTGATTCTTATAACAATCTTATAAGATTCTTAAAGGTGAGTAACAATATGGTAGATTCTTGTAGATTGATGGTTATATTTTTAAAATATATTGGCAAGCGATGGAAACTTTAGAATTTTACTAACAGCTTTAATAAGTGAAACACTTTGATGTATTAACTACAAGCATCTTGTTTAAGTTTGATAAGAACAATGATTGCTAAAATAGCAGTGTAAATATTCATGAGTCATGAATTTGTTTTGTACTTAAAAATATGACAAAGTTTTGATAAAAGAAGAATATGTAAATATTTTTGTATATTTTGGTAAAAGATGCAATTTTGAATGTAGATTCCAAGAACAAAATATCCACGAGAGGCTATAGAGAAAGCAATATATTATTCATAAACAATACTACAAAGCAGTTTGTGCTATACGCTGTATAAAAAGATGCCTTTTAATTGACTAAATTGATTGAATGTAAATGCTTTTATCGTGCGCTTTTTACATGTAAATTGAAAAATAAAATTGAGCAAGAGAAAATCATGAATGAAAATTAATCACAATAGCACAGTATGTCTCATTCGATCCAAAAGTGTGACCTACTTCAGTTTTATTAAATGAAGGGAAAAATACCTGTGCTTGGGCCATCAGCACTATTGATTGTGAATGCATTTGTTTTCTTATTTAACAAATAGGAACCCAAATCTGTTCTCATTAAATGACATAAAAAGTCAATAACATTGTATTAAGTGAATTTCGTTTTTCTCTGTTTTCCTTTCTTTAAACCTTATCAGGTCAGCGTGAAATTTGGTGAATTTTCTTAATTATGGGATGCGTTCGAGTAGCTTATCCGGATCGACTCGGGTAATAAAGGCAGACGGGTTAGCCAAGAGAAATGTGCTAATCGAACGCTCAAGCTGGGACCATCATGATCCTAACGTAATGGTCCGTAGCCGCGGGGAAACCATTGACCTAAAGCCCTTTTCGGACTGAGTCTGACTGAGAGATTTAATATTTTTCCGTCAATCGAAAAAAGTAACAACATCGGCATGCTTGGCCAACATGGCCGGCTCCCACTGGCGCGAAAAGCAACTTTTATTTTTACCTTTTCGCCTCCAAGTTTTGGGATATTTTTTATAAAGTTTATTTTCATAAAAAAATGTACATCCCAATATTATGCAATATCACCTTTCTTTTCTGCCGATTTTGGTAGAAAGATTCAACCTTGCGACAAAATGACTAAATGATGTTGCCCCGAATTTTGTATTCCGCCCTCTAGCGGTAACTGTGGATGCCCAAACGTGTATTGACTGAACGAATATTGACCTCAAAAATTGTTGAGTAAAATTTGGAAGCATTTGATTGAAAACCAATATTCCTGCCAAATTTCAGGGAAATCGGCTTAGACGACCCGAAATACCCTGGTCCTGCATAAGGTATTAACCATCTTTTGGGGCATGGCACGCCAAACAAAAAAACCAACAACAACAATAACCTAAGTGGCAATCTTTTTGTTACTAGCTTACCTAATGAGACATCAAAATTAATAGCAATGGCACAAGATGAAGGTGATTACACTACGAATTAAGTGATACATTTAATACACAACGGAGTAACCATACACATGCACTTGTAGTCTATAAGCAGGGCTATCGCAGGCACTGCATGAAGCTGGTTGTCAATAGTATCATCACTCAGGGTTATTTTCTTCAGAACCGCTAGTTTCTAAAACAACGAAAGTAGAGAAAAAACAATTCAAATACAGTCCTAATTATTACATTAGCAACAGATTAATCCACCGACCTTAATAATTAGAAGCCATAATTACGGTGGTGATATCACGATCTGACGCGCAGGACGAGCACGCACTCTTATTCCTTTGTCCAATTGGGTTTTCAAACATGCGCGCGCCTCACATGATAACCATCTCGATGAGTTTGTATACATTCATTGTGTGACACTTGATTTATCATAAAAAAATGTTCGATTCTAATTTTAAAACACAGATTTTGGAAATGATCAACCCAGTATTTTGAATTCAGTGAGACCTCCATGATTTTTGCGTATTACATAGCCTTTAAATTCCAGCGGCTGCTTTTAGTTTGTTTAAATTGTTTCAGTGTTTGTGCTATGCCTGTGTTTGCAGAGCAGAGTGGTGCGTCCCAAATTATTAAATTAATTGTGTGTTGTTTTATAAGATAATCAAAAACTGTCTGTGTTCCTACCGACACTGCAGATGACCCCGGCATCTCGGCTGTGGCTACAGGTGGATGCTGTCCAGCTAAGGGACGGGCAGTCATCGAGTTCCTCCTCCGAGCCAGTACAGGCCACGCCCTCCATGTGGACTTGTCCGCTTCCTTCCCCGTAGTGCGCTCCGGACTTGGCCTCCACGGCGCTGGGGAACCCGAGTTGTCGGCAGACCACCCCGGCATCCCTGATGTCCCAGTTTCGGTCGCAGATCGTTCCCCATGTGTCGTCTCGGAAGATCTCCACCCGACCACTGAAGTCATTGAGTCCTCCCACCAACCGAACAGTATCTGTTTCAACGATTCAGAGAAATGAAGAGAGCTCTGTCAACATAACATGGCGAACATACTTCTGTTTCATAAAAGAGTCTTAAGAAACCGCTCCTTGCCCCTTTGCATGTCAGCCATCTTGGAGGTTAGTGTTTTTCCTTTTAAGGAGGCATTCATTGTTATAGATTAAAATTAAAGAAAGAAACGGCAACACTAGCTGCTTGATGTAGCTTGATCTGCGCGCTACTTCAGATGATCTAAAGGAAAATGCCGGAACCGAATTATGTTTAGGGAATGCTTGAATGGTGATTGTCATAGCTGGAGGAGAGAGGGTAAAAAGTTTGAGGCGTCAAAATGATAAAAGCGGAGAAAAAACGGGAACATTCCCACAAGGACAACACAAGTACTACACGGATCAGGAAAGGAAAATATCGGAATCCAGTTAAAATTGTAGTCTATGGAATATGATATGCCAGCAGATTTGGCGACTAATTATAAAAAAATAAGATTGCGTCTTGACCTCGAGATCCTGACCATTCAGCTGACGTCTTCTATATCGTATCTTCGGTAACCCGTTGTTGTATTATACAAACATGGCATCCAACTTGGGCAATAACCAGCTTAATTCACCTTTCTGATGGAAATGACGTCACAGTTTCTAAAGTGTACTCCAATTGGATGGCGGGCAGGCTCTCATAAAAATTTGCCTGTTAGGAGATATCAGACGTGCGACAGTTTCTATGCACACGTGAATATCTGATACTCGGACTATAAAAAAAACAAATTGACAAAAAATATAAGTAAATATGGATAAAGGGATGAAAAAAAAGAACACGTGTATTTATATATATGAACCAAAGAGTACATTTTGAAAAGAGGAAGGAACAGTTTCACAATCAGGTGGACAAATACTGATACCTACTTAGTTTGGATTTGCAAACTACTCCGGCAACGTTCGAGCTTTCACACTGCCGATAGCTGGTACTGACAAACGGGCAGTCGGCCAGTCGGCTCTCCGTCCCCTCACAGGCGACTCGGTTCATCATGATCGGCAGGTCGCCTCTCCCGTATTCTGAGGCTGTGTTGGCCTGGATTGCTGCACCGAGGTCCAGCTGACGGCACACCGTGATTGCGTCGTTTATCCCCCAGTCATTAGCGCACACCGCTCCCCAGGATGCTGTATCGCGGTGGTAGATTTCCACACGGCCACTCCAAGCGTCAGTGCCATTCACCAACCTCACATAACCATCTGGGACTTTAAAGAATTCATTTTGAATCTATCAGAACGACTGGAATTTTGAAAAATTAAATCTGTTGGAACTATCAGTTTCACTCATTATTTTATTTGAATTTAACGTGGGTGTGTACGTGACTAACATACCAGATTCCTTCATCGAAATTTCGTTTTGTTTGTTATGATCCGAAAAGCTTAGTGATTTAGCACATTCTGCAGGTGGAACAAGGATTTATTTCGCAACGCTCAATTAATTTTGAAAAAATGTCCTCTGTAAAGGCTGTAACATATCATGTCTGAACGGAAATGTTGTTATGCCAATGCCTTATGTCAGTTTTCCTACGGATGAAGAGCTTTTGTTAACTACCTTGCACTTGGCACCCGAATACCTCGAACCTCACTTTGTAGTACTGATTAGTCCAGGCCAGGGGTAGTATGCGAATAAACCTTGCTGTGGGTACCACAGGAAAAGTGACATTCGTCGGCCGACCACTGGTCAAGTTGAACTAAAATGAAGCAAAAGCAGGATTAGAGTGGTAATGATAACAATTCAGTTTTCATTTGCAACATTCCGACACCTGCCCGTACAGTTCTTTATACAACTACAAAACATGTCTTCCTTATCAGCGGATACCGCGTGGAAAACAAATTGAGAGTTAAAACCTTTGGTTGACTACTGTTAGTTTCAAAGTGTACTTTATTGAAGGGAATCTCTTTTCATTTCCAGCAGTCTGAAGCCCCATTATAAAATAACAAATGAAAATGAAAATAACAATAATGAATACAAATAATCAGGCAATCTGGCTATGTGTTATTTGAAAAGCTGTTAAAAAAAAACAGAATGCCACATTTTTTACGATAAAAACGGCGTATAACAACTAGTAGAGTCCCAGAAGATGCGAGGATGTTGCCTGTCATCATATAAGGTATTTATACAGATAGTATACATCAACTCATGATAAACTCATTGCAATAAACAAAAACTATAGACAATGCGCACACTTGACATCATTGCATTTAGCCATCTATACGGGTGCAACACTAAATAGGAGATTCAAAAAAATATGAGAATCACACAAAATGAAAACACACGCCCGAATACAGGGTTCCATTAAAAAAACACATCCCAATAGGAATATGCCTTTAGGTCGATCCGCAAAATCGTTGGAACGTATTGTGTTTACTTAAAAATTCTGCTTCAGATTCCAGCGATAGATATCTTTTTTCACAGTCTAATTAATTTAGTATCTTAATTTGTAGTAGTTTCGGAGTATTTGCCTCACGTGCAGATTATTCTATTTTCATCCATAAAAGCACTTTCGTCTTTTCACTCGTCATTTCTGTCATGCATTGGCACGACAGAACAGATCAAAGGATGAAAATAATGACCCTTTTAAACTAAAGACGAAGGGCTGGAGGTATTTTACAAAACCTGCAATCATAAGACAATCCAAAGACCTCCGTTTCAGAACATTTCGTTCGCCTTGTCACTAATGAAGTGGAATGACCTAAATAAATGTAGAGATTGTAAAGTAACGAGAGAGAGAAAAAAAATCATTGTTCAATATCAAGCAAATCTCCCCACTTTTCAAATAGCAAATTTCAAAGTCGACTAGTGGTTGATTTGTGACGTACCTTACGCCTGCGCACTGATAGCAACGTGCGAACGTCTCTAGTCAAACGCTGGTCAAAATGTCATCGCAAAACTTCTGGATCCTGGCTCTCTGCTAGCATTATGAATGCGCGCGGCTATTGGTTACCAGCGAAGCAACCAACTCCAGTAGGCTGGTTCCATATAGTCGACTAGCGTAGTCAACCACCGTCGACTAGACAGAGTTCGGGCAAACGTTAGTTAACCATTGGTCTTTGCGCAAACTTGGCCCATTTAAGGAAAACGACTAATAAAGATGACTGAATGTTTGAAAAGCGCCCTCTGTAACTCACTCTGATTGCTCCACCGTCAGCATCGGCTAAACTCTGCCAGTCATCCGACTCGGCTGTGAGGCTGTGCTGGACTGAAAATGCCGTGACATGACAACAGGTCACATCGGCGCTTCCCTGCATGGTGAGCCCGGTAACCACCGTGGGTTTAACCAGGTCGACCTGGATCCACTGATCTGCTGGAGGGTGTGGCATCCATCCTTCGGGTCCTGTGGGATGATAGAATGGTTTTATTATTATCGTTGGGAAATGTGCCAATATGCAAATAAAAAAAAACCTACAGTCAGAAGATGTACAATCAGCTACGATTCATCAAATTTACTCCAATAATACAGTCACTGGAAAGGTGTGGCGGAAAAGGTGAATGTAATTCCGACGAACAGTTTTGATCCTAACAAACGCTGTTGTTTAGCATTGGAATTTTAGATCATGTTAAACAAGGCATATGACAAAGTTTATGAAGCGAGTTTCATCAGTTTTGGGAAAGAGGGTAAGATTTTATACGCCGTACGAAAAAGAATACTCACTTTCACAATCTGCCACTTTCAACTTGGCGTCCTCCAATGTCAATACAGCACTGGAGATGGTGGTGGAAGAAGCGTGCTGCGGCACAAAGCTTCTAAAGAAATGCATGATCACCCTTGATGTCACTGCACTCCTCCTCGATCGTTTGGAACAACAAACGACCGAGGAGGCGTGCAATGACATTAGGGATGATTCTGCATTCCTTCAGAAGCTTTCGGCCGCTGCACGCACCTTCCGCCACCGTTTCCTCCGCTGTATCGACATTCCCAAAGTAAGTAGTTTTTCGTACGGCATTTAAATATTATCCTCTTGCACAAAACTGATATAACACTTAATATAATTGTTCATGCCCTCTTTACATGATCTGAAATGTTGGTTTAATTCCATTGGTAAACAACAGGGTTATTTGGGATCAAATGAAGGACTTTTTTTGACAAGAAGTACATTGTAATTTCCAAAATATCACGTTATACATCTGCATTTCTGACCAATCACCGTTTGGGTGGTTTTTATATATAGAGCCTTGTCATACCGTTTGACCTAAACCTTTCATTAGTCATCAACATGAATTTGTATAGTTCCGCGATATTTTTCTCTCAAATGTTTTTTACTGCGAGACGCCGCACTTCTAGTGTAAATTGGGCCTCATATTGAAATTCTCACAAAACAATGAACTAAAGAACTATCCGGCAAATCCACTGAACGACAACTTTGGCCCATTAATTGTATGGCTTTGCTAATTACCGAGTTCTATGGTCACCATTCGGTGCCTACAGAATGACTTCATTCATGTGTATGTGTAATAACGAACTGTGCATCAATAATGTAAGCAAATAGTCCTAAAGAAGCCATATAAAACCATACTTTTCTTACCAACTCATGTTTGCGATTATGTCTTGGCAAAAATGTTTTGGTAGAGTCTTTGTTGTTGTTAAGCAGCGCCATGCAATTGGGCCCTAATGGCACGGCACTGCTAAGTTACGCAAGGAAGCATAAGCAGAAAGACGAATGACTTCATTTATCATTATATTCACGAGGCAACTAGGCACAACATAAATATGGAAATATCACCGTTAAAGGTTTACCATAACATAAATGCACATTACTTATATAGGATCGTTGATTTTTTATAGAAAGGATGCGATACCTACCTACATTAAGTCGAGCGGTGCTTGGGAGATAGTAACTACTATAGACGGACGATGCCGTTATGCTGTTGTCCGGGATGTTTCTATTTTCCATCCCCAACGCCCTTGGAGTGCACCGTGCTAGTGAAATGATAAAGAATTATTCACAAATTCAACAGGTTATAGTGACGTAC